GAGAGAGATAGAGAGAGAGATAGATAGAGAGAGAGATAGAGAGAGAGAGAGAGAGAGAGAGAGAGAGATGGAGAGAGATATAGAGATGGAGAGAGAGATAGAGATGGAGAGAGAGATAGAGATAGAGATGGAGATATAGAGATGGAGATGGAGATATAGAGATGGAGATGGAGATATAGAGATAGAGATGGAGATATAGAGATAGAGATGGAGATATAGAGATAGAGATGGAGATATAGAGATGGAGATATAGAGATAGAGAGATGGAGATAGAGAGAGAGAGAGATGGAGATATAGAGATAGAGATAGAGAGATAGATAGAGAGAGAGAGAGATAGAGAGAGAGATGGAGAGAGAGAGATGGAGAGAGAGAGAGATGGAGAGAGAGAGAGATATCCGTAAATCTGTACAATGATGTTTTGTTCTTTAACTCTGGCGCATAGTAGGCTAAGTGAATCCGCGTATCTGTAAGAGAGTTAGAAAAATGCTTTTTCCATGGATGAGACGTCTGCCGGGCAAAAGCAGTGAAACATCTGACTCATGAGGATGTGGATATTAAGAGAAGCCCAGTGACATAAGCTGTATACATTTAAAAAAAAAAGAGTAAGAAAAGTGAGGGCTTCTCCAAGGGGTTTCGTATAATTTTGTGCTACTGAGAAGTCCGCAGAGTTTAAAACTCTATGAAAGTCAATTTCATCATACCTCTCAACTAAAAATTTATACATCCTGAATGTATCAATGGACCCATTGGTCATCACACTTACGCCACCACACTCGCACGACGCAAAAGAAAGTGATGCCTGGGCCACTGGCGTAAGCTTTTTTACCTCGCCTTATGAATTCTTCGAACCCGGGGTCGCATCATGGAAAGCGAGTGCGCTGACCAATGAGCTAAGCTGCCAGGCCATCAACATATGGGTATGAAATTATTTTAAGATACTTTATATTGTTTTGTAGTAGTTGAATACATGTGAAGCATTGAATAATACATCTTGCTCATGCATTGCTTATTATTTATTATATAAGACTTGCAATGAATTTAAATGTCAGGGCCTACAAAAAGTCAGCTAAAGTTTTCTTTAACTCGATCCTGCTGGAGACCGCCACCAGAAGAAAATGAAATGCCACTGCACTACAAATCACCATGTAAATGGGGTAAATTGTAATGAAGCTTATGGATAACCTGTTTTCATAGGCGTGGACAACCTAAAAACAAGAGGAGATTCCAAGCTCATAGTGGGCTCCATTGTCCATGATACTGATTTAATTTCCTTAGACATATTTCACTAGTAAATGAATAAAACAAACTACTAGTTATCCTTTTAATGATATCGTTAGTAAATAGAATTGATTTTGCACTGAGGTGACAAACGTCATGGGATACCTTCTAATGTGTCCTCCTAAGGTGTACGTGAAAATTCAGGACGCAAAAAGTATTCGAACACTAAGGGGGATAATAATAGTTTTGGTTCTCATGCGCCTGGCATGTGAAAACTTTGTAACGCCTGGCCAGTCACTTGTAGACTTGCTTAGTGTTTTATAGGCACTCAATAGGCTGTCGGTGTATGTTGTAAATCAGGAAATGGGATTGTAAAGGAAAAAACTTTGGAAGAAGTACAAATTATAATCAGACTGCATACTGACTTTATCACGTTGTCGCGCCCGGAAACACTAATCAATCAATGAAACTTGATTGATGAAACAAATTTTAAAAAGGAGTCGGAAAAAAGGTACAGCTTCAAGCAGTGTGCCATTTTCATTCTAAGCGTTCTGCTTCTGACTCTAGTGGAGAATTCCTGCTTGTAGTTTTCTTGCGTATTAGTAGAAAGATGCATCCGCCCGCGGTCCCTGCTCAGGGTGCTTGATTGCCTACGATAATCTCCCGGTTACGAGCCGGGGCCAAACTGGATGGTGGAAGTGGATTGGGGAGATTTGGGTGTGGTAAGGTTAAGGAGGGTTGTTGTGGGAGCTAAGATGGTTTGTAGGATGAATGGATTTGGTGAGTGATTGGTTGGTTTGGGTTTTATGGTTTTATTGACTTAGGCCAAGTATGCGTCTAATTTATGCGTATTTGCCTTTTTATTCCTATGTTCCTCCTCTTTGTGATTCCAGCAGTATTTTTGTGGCCACCATGATTGTTGCGCATCTGCCGGTGTTTTGGGCAAATATTCAAGGGGTTTTAAAAAACGTGACTCTGCCGTCTTTTTTAATGGATCTGGAATTTTGATGTATTGTGTGCTGCGAAATATATTGTGCATCTTCTCCGCTAAGTGGCGCACTGTCTGTAGGATGGTATACGTGTTTCTCTTCTTTAGCTAGTTATCCATGATTTCTCCGGGGGGTAGTTTGTATGGTATCGTCATAAAATAGTATTCAGCTTGAATTAGAATTCTAATCCTTGAAATGGGTGACGAGATCTAAAAATAGGACCTTTTGGACTTGATTTCGTTGGCTCACGGATTTGAATATTTGTTGTCGCATTAGATAACTTCTGATCGTGTTCGGTTACCAACGGAACAGAAGAGTGGCCGACTACAGTCAAGTCTTCAGGTGCATCGCAGGTGCGTCAGAAGCTGCATCGCACACAGAAGAGGGTAAATGTTTGGGGACTTGGGTTTGGCAGCTGGATGTAGCGTAAGCAATCTTGACAACGGTACTGGAGAAAGACAGAGAAATCTACAGGGTTTTTCGCCAAGTACCGGCGTTTGGTCTCAGGAAATGACACCTTGGTGTCTCCGATCTTCTGGACCTCCCTCTCCTTCAGATTCCTCTTCAACCCTGGCCGCCCTCTCTATCGGAATTATAACGACTGCTTTAGACGAGGTGCTCTGCGTGAGCGCGCATGAGCGCGAAGCCCGCCCTTTCGGTCGAACCAATGATTATGAAAACCGCGGAGAGATGGTATGCAGGGGAAAAGGATAAGTTTCCTGCAAGTAGATATAAATGGGTTATGGCGAGAGGTTATTAACCTACTTTGTTTGAATGGAAGCGGAAATGTTTACATTGCCATAGTTGAAATTTAGGCGGGTTACTTTTTCATCTTCACCTCCTCAAAACTGAGTACACGCAGAGCACCTCGTCTAAAGCAGTCGTTATAATTCCGATAGAGAGGGCGGCCAGGGTTGAAGAGGAATCTGAAGGAGAGGGAGGTCCAGAAGATCGGAGACACCAAGGTATTGCAGTATTTATCCGTGACTTATTGTGTCCGCAGAAATCCTCCGAACTGACCTCCAGACTGGGTGCGTACGGCTGAATCAGTAGCGATGTGTGCATATATATATATATATATATATATATATATATATATATATATAAAATGTCCCTTTTCTGGTCCACTTTCATATTTCTGTTTTAAACTTATCCGCTAATTTCGCTGGCTAATCCATCCAGCTTACTAGGATACATTCAGCAAAGAAATACGAATATCGGACAATTGTTCAATGGCATTCATGCCATGGTGGCGAATTTTTCCGACGCCCTTCTTCGCGCAGCCTCCATTGCTCGAAGTCTGGGACCGGCCACGACGCCTCCGTATGCCTCGGCGGAACGCCGACTTTGAGTACTGGCGAGGCTCAATAGATTTCCCACCCACGCAGATTTTATCAAGTATAAAAGAACCCGGGCCAGAGCTAGATTGGTCGCTTCCCGACGAGACCACTTTCTTCCTCTACCCCCTAAAGTAGTACAGCTGGTGCGGCAGATCGGAGGAAGACGCCCTCCTTCTTATGAGGGTTTCCGGTGAATGGAAATCTTGGCGCCCAAGGCCTTGTCTTCACGATTGAATATCTCACGGTATCATCGTGAAGACAATGCCTCGCGCGCGAAATAGAAACCCAAAAATATTCCAATGGGTGCTTCATTTTGGTCCATTGATAAAGCAACATCTTTAAGAAAAGGAAAAATGGCAGTTCCCGTAAATTTT